CTTTCTCTTAATATCCTTGGTTTTTGGATATTTAGTCAAAACAAAACAACTAAAAGACTAAAACATGAAATTAGTTATTTAATCAGTTAGCAGATTAAGAAAATTAATAAGAAAGAATTCAGAGTAAAGACTGAATCGACTGTTTTTCCTTTCATGTCTGTGGATTTTTGACATTTTTAGCTTTTTATCAAATTTAGTCAAAGTAAGAATATCTCCCCAGCATGAGGCCCCTAAATTAGCCAAATATGATTAGCTGTAAAACAAAAATAGCCAATTTTGTCATGGACAATCATGATAATCAATTAATAATTCAATCATGTATGTCATTGTTTTTTCCACTGATAGTTGGACAAAAAAGAGACATCTGAATATCAAACTTAGTATTTCTTACTACTTTGAGTTCTTTTAGGCCACAGGCCGAACAATCGGTCGATAAAACAATCAATGAATGAACAAAGAAAAATCTGGTTATTAATTAATGGTTCTCTCACTTTTTTTTCTTTCATTCCGTTGTTTTCTCTCAGTCTTCTCTGTGTGTGTCTGTAGTGTCTGGTATGTTACACAAAATAAAATTACCACTTTTCTTTTTCACATTTTGATATTTAGAGGCACCAAAGATTGACCCTCACGAAAATAACACATTAACTAATGTACCACCTGTAAAGCACGATTTTCAGTACAATAAAAAATGACAAATTCTTTCCTTGCTAAACATAACCAATAGTTCCACATACACCGCTGCAGGTTTTACAGCAGATGGGTGGCCTTGTAGAGTGTATTTTTATCGCGTCACTGAATGGCTTTAACATATTTCAGAGCTGCGGTCACTGATTGTCTGACCAAATAACTGAGCCATAGTTTGGGTGGGGTTGAAGTGGAGCCTTTTGAAATCAGAGCTTTTGCCAGTCGCTTTTTTTTTTAATGAGGTGGGAGGAAGAAAAAATCTCAGTATCTTTAGCAACCATTCGACAAAACAATGGCCCGTAAAAAACACACAAGCAGCCGCTGAAGAAAGTCTGAAATCACGGCGTGAGTGGCTGCAGCAGATAAGGCCGAGCCCAGAGGCTTGTATAAACAAACATCTCTGCTATTCAGCTCGGACACACACACACACACACACACACCGCGCCGACTCCATCTGGAAAAGTGCAGCCGGCTGAAATCGTGCGTGGAGACGGGAGTCGTGATTGGGGGCCCCACCCCAACACAAGGACACAACCGGGATAAAGTTACACAACAGACCAAGTGATTAACAACCGTCTGCAGCAAACTGTCAGCTCTGGAATCCACCGGGAATAATCACACACACGGACAGCCTGCGAAAGTAAACTGTCAGCGACGGCACCAGAACGCCCCAGAAATGAAATTCATCAGATTTACTGGAAATCATGAAGGTGTAACCACAACGCAGAGACACACCGGTTACAAAGGCACGGGAATGAAACCGGCAGGGAGAAATCATTTCGACCAGAAACACCAAACTAGATTTAATCCGTGGCCCACGAAAAAAGCTCAATTTGATCCTTTAAGTGGGCCGGAACATTTATTTGAATGTAAATAGGTCTATTGTGATGACATCCACGGAGCAGACGATCAACAGCCTGAGACACAGTTCATTAAAGATGAAAAAACAAAACAGAAAAGCCTCACCTGCATTGTTTCTGCTGTTAAACAGCTATGTGATCATTTATTGACGTGATGAAGATATATCTTCAGTATATCTTCATGTCTGTGTTGTAATTTAATCTAAAAAAAAAAAGATCACCATAATTACGTCACTGCTGTTTTCATTGACGCGTAAAGCAAAGTATGGGCCGGTTTGGATCTTCGGAGGATGTTTTCTCAGGCCCGGGCCGCATGTTCGACAGCCATGTTTAATACGTCAGCATAATGTTAACGCAAAGGTTACTTTAGCTCAGATGTTGAGAGCCATTTTAGGCCATCTTTTTTCGCTTGCAGTCCTTTACAGCAAGACTGCTACGTATCAGAATGTCACTTCACAGATCAAAATAAAATCAACATAACAATATTATTTAAAAAAACATGAAAATTGGTTGTGTTGTGTGATCTAAAAGTAAAAGAAATCCTGCTTTTTACTATCATATAGGCATTATTAAGAAAATATTGATATTTCATTTTGAATATCCTGATTATCACAAGTTCTCAGTGTTGTGTATGGTACACATTTATAAAGACAATATTTATTAAAACACACACACACACACACACACACATTTAGTTCATTTAGTTCTTAAAGCAGCAGAAACATGAATTTCATCTTGTTGAATATAATCGTGTTTTGCGTGTATTTACTAACCTACAGTTACGTCATGCGGTTATGTGGGGCTTTGGATTGCACAGTACTTTTTGAATTGTGATGGCAGAGTAGTTTTACCTGCTCTAATCCCTTTATCTTTACAGCCAGTTTATTTTTTTGTGCTGCTGTAACATCTAATCCTCCCAGCAGGGCATCAATAAAGTGCTATCTTATCTCACCTTTCCCCTGCTGGTAAGTTTTTCAGTTTTACTTTAAAAACTTTGTTTGGTGATTTGTGACTGTTACTGTGTGGCTAAAATATATTTTCCCCAGAAGCCCCGAAGGATAAAAGTGGACTAATTAAAAATATATCTTTTATGTTTCATAAAAATCCAAAAGTTCCTTAGTTAACGAGCCAAGGGCCACATTTTCTACAGCAGTCCTGAATGAAACAGGAACCTCTTATTAAGAGGGCCTGTAAATTTCATGAACTGCACCGTGCTGATGCACTCTGTCAAAGCACTAACTGCCACCATGAACAGCTCTTTTTTCCCCACTGAATGTAGATCTTCTAAAGGTCAGACGCGTTTTTCAAAACGTTACGATCTTTATGAACATGCAGGAAGTTGAAGATTTTTTTTAAAGTGACAAAAAGAACACAAACAGGGGTTTTTTTGTGATATAATCTTTCCTTCTCTTATAAGTGGGGAGGTGAGCATGGGGCTGCAGTACTTCTTATTGGAAAACTTACTCTTCACACCAGGGAGATGTGTCTACATTTTCTGAGCAATATCTTCTCTTTATGGTAGCATGACTTCACTGCAGCTCAGGAGGGAAACAAGACGACCATCTGCTGCACGATGCAAATTGTGGAAGTCTCATCTAAGCTGCAGGTGGACTTTTGAATACATTAGTGTTCATGTGGGCACCTATGCAGCAATTTCAAAACACTTAAAAAAAAGAGGCCTGTGCCCCAAATCCATCACTCAACACTAACATCTGCCACCAAAATGAGACAAGAGCTTGTTAACATAATGGCCCTTAATCTGCTACAGGTTCATAATATATGTGAAAGGTTAATATCCCATAACTGTCTGTTTGCACTTCAAATGCAATCAGGTGGGAGTCTGACAGGAAGTTTAAAAAACTGCTGCACACTGCAATCCCAAACCAAATGAAATAATTGAAGAGCTCAATCACCTACAACGCCGAGCTACTGCTAGAAATATACTTTTAATGTTAACTTTACTTGTGAAAGAAAAATAGGAGAGAGAAAGGGAGGCTTAGAGACAGTAGAGTCCAAAAATACACTTTTATGACTGGTAGGTGCTTCCCTGTTGGTGAAGTAACGGTGAATTATTTATCTTCTCCACAGGCACAAAAAGGCCAGTTTTACTTTCTGCTTTTTCTAAATGAATCTTTTTCAGTGGGTTTCCTTAAGTGTAAACAGCCAAGGAAAAGCAATTTTTCACATGAGGAGTTTATTAGTTTATTAGTCATGATACACACCTACATCTACTGTGAAATGAAACCAAATGACAACAACAGACACACAATTTCAGGCTGAGCCAGCTGTTTACAACGAGACACGTGCTTTGCTTGATTTTTTTTTTTAAGAAAATACATATTTTTAAAAAAGGAACCAGTGCTCGCCAAGTACAACATAACTGCTGTTAATAATAAAACCTTATTTTCAAAATATGAGGATTAATTGATCTCATATGTCCTACTCTCAGGGAATGTTTGATATTTATCACAGGAATAAAGATTAAAAGTTGCAGTTATTTATGGAACTCTGTGTGTAGTTTCAGTTATTGTTGGATTTACACCATCGTGGGCGCTGAAACGTGTGGAGTGTAGGGTGTGCAGTGATGAACTTCAGCCTGTCCTATGACTACAGGCTAAAAATGGCCTTCATATGTTCATATAGTCAGGTTGTCTAAATATTCACAAGATCAGTGGAAAAAAAATCAAAACAAAATAATGGCTTCAGTACAACGTGGGACTGAATGAAACATACTCAAACACACAAACAGGAGTTTTATTTCTAGGAGATTTTGTGATTTTCCTTTAATAGCGCTTAAAAACACAAATTTACTAGACTCTATTTCTAATGTTGTGTAGTAAGTTGTTCTAAATCGTGGGCACCTATTACCCAATAAGAATATTTTTGTAATCAAATTACATGCAAATAGTGTGAAGTCTGGCTGTTAACCATTTAAAGCCGCTGGGACTAAAATCACAGAGGCTAGTTGTATTTGACAAATATATATATTCAGTCACATCTCTGCTCTGTCGAGGTGATGCTAAGCCTCGCGCGCTTCAGACAGTGTGCTGATGCTTTGACTTCTTATGAATCTAATAAAGCTTTTTTGTTTTTCCTTCTAAGCAGGACGTGTTGGTTTCATGAGAAGTGACTTTACTGCTTTCAGTGTTGAGAGTGACTTCACTTCCCAATTTAGAGTGTGAAAGAGAGAGAGAGAGAGAGAGAGAGAGCGGGTGAGAGAGAGGGGGGGGGAGAAAAAAACTTGCCATCCGGTTTATGGTCTGTGAGCAAAAATTGTAACTGCAATGGTTTGCGCCATAGAGCCAATGCAGCCGTGCACGATTTGAAGTGAGGTTAGGGGCTAAATTAACTGAAACAATCACAAAACGACTAAATGACAAAGACCGCGAGGCTGCTGCTGCAATGGACTGTTCGATAAAGGTAGGTGTTTGCGCCGTTTTTTTAACGCCCGTGTTGAAGATGACAGGCGGCCACCCACACCGTGAGTCTGCTGAGTGAGAGAGTCAAGGCGGTGATGCGAGCTCCCCACTCTTTCCTTCTTGTACAAAATTTCCTCTTCCTTCCCGTTCGTGGTTGTATGTCGGCTCTATAATAACACAACTAACCACTACATCTTTACACTCAGATAAAAACACTAATTGGTGGCCGGTTATACGCGTAAAAGAGGATTTCCAAACGCACGCCTTTCGACTTTTTTCGTAATTTCGTCGAGCTCTTCCTGCATTATTCACGGACCCACAATTAACGACAAGCATAAGGCAAATTACTGACCACCGATCGCTTTCATAAACGCTTTTGTTTCTTTAACGAAGATGAAGTAGATGAAAGGGATGCTGGACTTTCTCGGTGCGCGTAAGGCAGGTGTCCTCGAAGGCGTCATGGATCGAATTGGAGCAGGAGGATCCATTTCCATCAGATGACTGGTATTTCACATTCCACACTATTACAGCTACAGCTGTTTATCGTCTCCTGAGGACCGTTAATTGTTTCGATGTCTTATCTTCTAAGAGAAGCTGAAATAAAGGCCTCTGTGTCAGAGAGAAAACGAACTTTTTACCGAAATTAGCGCCGACTGTTGCGCAACGAGGGGAAAATGCAATTATTTTAATCCGATTGTGCACTCAAGTGACCCAATTCACGCTCGGTTTCTATTAAATTGCGCCTGTATGCAACACTGGGCCTTTATATGCATGTATATAATTCTGTACTGTGATTTTTGCAGTATGCACGATCACAATTCTTAATTTCGACGCTATTTTAATATTGACATTTTTAATTAGTTCAAAATTAATTACTATAACGAATTCCTTTAAAATTTCATTACGGCTGCAAAACCTTTTTTGCAAGAAAAAGCGTTCCTCGGATGCAGGAAGTCATTATTCGCTGATTTCTCGGGTTGTTTCTAACATGCATTTGTATGTGCAGCTGTTTTTAGGCGCTAAACATGACCGAGATACGTGGTTTCTCGTTATGAAAAGGACAGCAATTAAAGGGCTAGTACAAAAAAGGGGCAAAATGAAGCCATACTAAAAGTAAACCTTAAATTATTATTAACATCCTTTATGACGAGTTTTTTTTTTTTAAATTCTGTTTAGTTTGTAGTTTCAGTGTCGGGAGACTCTTTGGGATTCTTTGTTATTTTTATATAATTATCCAGATGCTTATTCTCTTGTACTCTGTAGCTGTCGATTGTGTTTGAGGTTATTTTAAGAATAATTTATAGCAGCAAACGGGAGCACTTGTCAGGTGTCGTTATCTGAACGCAGCAGGCTTCCTGTCTCAAACCTCAGACTTTCCGCACACATTTCCGCTCCCTGGACCAGAAAAAAAAGTCAAAAAGGCAACAAAGGCTCTGAAAGACAGAAACAAAGTGGACAGAGTGAGGCGTTGCGTTGTCGTAGCCGCGCTGCCCGCTCCCTCGCTGACAGGGAGCTGGAGCAGAGAGGCCTGGCCCCGAGTTTGCGGCCTGCAGAGGCCTGCGTGCTGTCAGGATCCGAGCTGTGAAAACCGCACCGTTGTTTGTGCAGCACAAAGCGCAGCTGCTCGAGCCTTTGCAAAATCAGCTCAACTTTTACTTCTCCTTTCTGCCACTTGTTGCTTCAGACATGGCGAGGACAAAGGGCTGTGCCTTTGCACAACGTGATCTCTGGTCTTTTACTGCAGCAGACACCTCATGCGTGGGCTGCACTTAAACACAAATGTAGGTGTTTTTTTTTATTATTATTATTATTTAAATTAAACTTAAATAACCCGAAATCAGACTCTTATGTAAGCAGGAGCTCAGTTAAGCTTTAAGACTTTTAGTCTCTATAAATAAAAACACCGAGGGGGGGAAAGAGGAACTCAGAAATCACCAAAATACAATGTTTCTCATTAAAATACCAGCGTTTGAGATGGATATGTGGAAGTCCTGTTTGCGCTGCACTATTATTTATTCAAATATCAATCCAGGTTATTTGTCAGGCTGCATGCAGCATATTTTACTGAAGGCAAGATAATGCAGGCATCAACATATATCACCCAATCCGCTTCTTCAGCCCAAGATAAGCCTTGAGGGGCGTCATAAACGACTAAATATAAAACAGATTTTAATCATGTAACTGCTTCTTGCAAGTTGTTAACCACATCCTTTGTTCCAGCTTAGGGTTAGTGGCTTACCAACCTTTTTGGCCTTTAACCCCTTCATACAGTGTATTGTTTTATTAAATATTGCGTAGAGGTAGAGTTATGGAACATTTATGCAGTGAGCCAGATAAAAGACATATCTTTAAAATAAAATTGTTACACAAATATTTTCTAGTTGTCTTGCTAACCATTTGGCAACCTGCTGGAAACTACGAATTAAATGAACAACAGTAAATTCATCTAAAAGGGCTACTTTTTGTTTTTAGTGCACCTAGATTCCAAACTGGGGAACTGACAGTTTTCCCTCCCCTTTAAAAAGTAGAACCAATGACCTTCTACCTCTATGGTTAGGGGATGTGGTGATTTTGTTATGCTGTGTTGCAAGCATGTTTTGGGTCAAATGATCCCCTCAGTGGTAAAGAGCCACTGTAAATCTATATAAAGTTGTTTATGAAATATTTTTCTCCTATTTAAGGATAACACTGCTTATCCAGGGAGTGAGGGTGAAAGGTGAATGGTTTGAAGAGAATGAAAATGATGTGAATCATAATTGTTTCAGAGTAACCAAATCTCAGCCCACCTTAACAGTTTTGTTAGACTGCAGTCTTCCCTAATATTGCCACACAACAAATACAGAAATAATTGGAAAACCGGTGTTTCATCCTTCCACTAAATGCTTCAGACTGCAGAATCATTTCATTTAGGTTAGTCTGGCTCACTAAGACCTTTTATGTTGGTTTCCTTTAATTTGTTACCCGTTTGTAGCATTTTAAGGCTTACACAGGAATTTCTACAATTTTTGTTTGTTTGTTTATAGATCAAATTATTAACCAGGACATATTCATTAGATTGTAGGATACCTAAATGGTAGTTTTTGGTTGCAGCCCTGGTTACAGGTGAACTTTAGCAGTACAAATACATGTAGAATAGTACATGCAGCAGGATATATTTAAGGGGAAATTTCCTTTAAATGAAAAGGTCTTGGCAGTAAAAACTAAGAGTCTTTGAACACCAACATCCTTCGTGTGTGATTCATAACAGACTACTACCTAACGTTATCTGATTCAGGCTCTGTTGCAATGGCCTTCTCGTGTGCTACTGAAAAATGACTTTTGCAGGTAGAGTTATTAAAGTGAGTCTTGGAATATAAGGCATTTGGATTCATGGTTAAATGTGGATAAACTATGAATCTTATACAAATTTATACAAAGATGAATAAAGATCCCCATCTCGACAGGCCTCCTGTGAGCACGCTTTTAGTTGCTGGCTTGGGCAAGACTGCACTGATGCAACCTGCAAAGCTGCTGACAGCCATGTCAAAAGTTTCCATGCAGGACTTCGTGTTTGTGCGCTCACTCAAAGTGGAAAGTGCGTGCTATCAAAGTGAGCAGCAGCGGCGTAAATTTTAGGACATCGAGGCACAAGGCGGCCTCAGTTTCAAGAAGGTCATGTTTTTAAAAGCAGTTTTGTGTCACTGAGCAACAGCCTGAAACGCTCTCAACAGGAAGTCAGTTGTGGCATCGGCGGTCAGGCCGCAGTTTGGTATATTTGTATCAGTGAGCAGAGGAGATGAAGAGAGAGGGAAAGAGCAGAAAGAAACAGATAAAGAAAGAGCGGGAGTGTGCATGAGCTTTTCACTGAACTCACTGTGCCAAAGAGCAAACGTTTGGATGAGAAACTGCAAGTGACGATAATATCAGCTTGAATTTTGAGCTCTAAATAAAATTAAAAAACTAAACAAAGCAACAAAAAAAGATACAATCTTCAGCTACGGCTCACAACTGCCTACTATCACGCATTCTCGTGAGAATTTGCTGTCAGCAGCGAGTTTTATCCCGCCTTCAGTTGACTGTTTCACTTCTGCACAGAGTAAAGGCCCCGGAGTGTGAGAAGACAAACTGACAACACGAGGACAACAGAAGTAAAAGAAAGCAAAGAGATGGAGAACAAAGCACAACATGCAGTCCTGCTAACCACTTCTCAAACATACAACACACACACACACAGAGCCCTACATTTACAGCATTACATGCGTCAGACTCTGTTGCTGGTCTTTCATATGCGGAAGTATTCCTGTAAACAAAGTGTGAATAAGGTTTTGGTTCGGCTACATTAAGCGTGACAAGAAAAAAAACTGCAAACTCGAAATAAAAACAATATTAGATGGTAGTTTACAAAAGTGTCAGCGTTCATGTTGCATTATGGGTATTGTAGGCAGTTTTTTTTTAAATGACAGATATTCATCTGAAGTAACCATCTGCATGAATTTTGATCAAACAGCAGCCTGAAGCTGAGAGTCCCAAGTTAAAATCTCCAACTTTACAGCACAAATAAACATGTTTACAGTAGAAAGAAAAAACGCACCCCTGAATCGTATTTGTGTGTTCACAGTGACTATACTTGGCGGAGGGGGTTCTCATCTGTGTAGATTTTTATCACGTGGCATTATGAGGCCATCCTACTTTGTTGGTGACTGTAGTCACTGGCTTCATCTCCAGTAATATGAGTCAGAGAAATAGACCCGGCAGTTGTATATTTGGTGTTGGTGCTTTCTGAAGAATTTTCTAAATCAGTTATCTGATATACTGACACCTGCTTTGTAGCCATTTGAAGTCTGGATGGTCCTATAGTGCAGCTTCTCACCTCATTAGTTAATTAGTTTAGAGGAGGCGAGTATTAGCATTGAATTTGGGCACATTAACACTAGTCAGCAGGTGTCTGTGTTTGTATGTAACACTGCCATCCGTCATCCAAATATGGCCACTTTTGGCTCAAATGTTTCCAACGACTCACATTTTGAAACCTAAATCTGAGGCTTCAACAAAGCAAGGAGTCCACAAACCAGTAGGTGCTGACATCCATCTTTTACATACAGTCTATGATTTTGACAGTAGTGCAGTGTTCAATATTTTTCGTAACAATTGTGTCTTTAAAATCTTGAGCAACTTTTTTGTGTAATCGTGGGTTGGAGTGAAATGAAAACGTAACCTTCTTCTAGAAAAAGGGCGTATCCATTACACAGCAGCAAACGCTCCACGCAGCAGAAGCAGTAGCTGACTTCTGTAGGAGTTTGTCTGCAGCATGAAGGAAATGCCGAATTGTGTGCCATGCATTAAGATGTGGTTCACAGTGCTCAGGCAACAATTGAGCTAAAAACAAACAAACAAACAAAACAACACACACACACGCACAAATGAAAAACAATGTGATGGCGGCACTTCAATCAAGGCTCATACTCTTCTTTCCGTCCACCCCTCTCCTCTCCTGACCACAGGCCTTTAAGGGTTGTTTTCCAGCTTTAAAATGACCCACATTTTTACACTATGCACCCCCTCCTCCACCATTTCCTCTCCCTTGGCCTGTGCCAAAAGGTTCCTGTGCACATGGCGGCCTGGTTTCCTGTAGGCCACTGAAAAAGCACGGCACTGACGTACAAGGCCCAAAGACAATGCTCAGCTCCTCTAAACAAACATGCACTTGCACCCACTTAGATGGCCGTGGTCGCATCACACATGCACGCACTTAATTTGAGCAGCAGACAGAACAACGGGTCCGGTCTCTGGCCTCCTGAGTATGTGGGATGAAAGTGCCATCTTCGAGCGGTTTTGAGGCCACATTTTGGGCGCTGAGCACAGGAAGACGGACTTAAATCTCAATTAGACTCCACCTTGAGCTAACACCCCTCCCCCTCCCTGCAACCCCGATCCTAACGGCAAAATAAAACTGTGGTTAAGGTTACTGATGTTCTTTATGATTAGACAGCCTCCTGGCTGCTTTCACAGTTCATTTCGCTCCTCATTGTAGTGGTTTCATAACCTCCTGTAGCTTTTTACGTTAAACATGCATTTAAAGTTTTAAACAGTCACAGGGGAATTCTTTATCGTGCAGAGAAGAGTTGAATCCTTCAAACTCAGCCCAGGGCCCAAATCTGGCCTCTTACAAAGGGAATTTCAGCCAGACAGTTGAAGTTCAGGAAAACTGCAATATGTTTGATTGACAGATTTTCATGTGCTTCTGTTTTCAAAAATATGCTCCATTATATCGACATGATTACCTTTTTTTAGGGCTTTCTAAAAATACTTTTTCTTGAAATTTGTCATTCAAGTTCTCGTCTTGAGGCCTTCAAGAAATACATGAAAACACAATCAGGGATTATTTTGCTTTTACAAAATCAAAGGAAAATAATCTGCAATGTTATCAAAATTAACAAATTAAACACTTTTAAACATAAATAAAACAATGACAATCTAGACAACACACCACAACATAAACATACATTTTGCAACATAAACAAAAAAACAAAAACAAAAAAAGATTTTCAACATTTTAAAGTTGACAGTTTTCCTGGTTTCTTGTGTAATTACTTCCATTCCTGCACAGTTCATCAAAAACCAGACAGTTATGTTTCAACGCGGATTCGTCTATTTTGTGCCACTTAGCATTTTTTTATCGGATCCTAAAAACCCATCATTTTGTTTTTGGTTTTTTGGGTCAGAATTTTGCACATCTTTTAATTATATAAAGACCAAATCCCATGTTAGCAACTATTTTAAGTGAAGTATCGGTAACAAATCTACAATAATACCCAGGAACCCAGACTCCCAAACTGGGTTTAGAAGCAGTTAATTTATTTAAAAAAAAAAAAAATTAGATCGTTTATTTTACAAAATGGATTGAACCAAATATAATGGTAAATGTCTAAAACACATTCAGAAGCAGTTTATCGGTGTAGCCACTGAGTGCAACTCTAAAAGTGTGTAATGCAGTCGTGAATTTAACTGAGTTTGAATAAAAGTGAACAAAAACAAACTGATTACACGTTTCATCCACAAGAAATCAAATTAAATATTAAAACGAGACTTCACAACGTATTCAGCCCATATTAACTGACATCGGCATTAATTTGTTGCTTTTTGATGTTTGCTGATTCTCAACCATCGAACTTCTGTTGGAAGCCATTTTTCCCTTTGTTGAGCAAGTTTCCAAAAATAGAAATGTGCTTCCTCGCAGCAGGTATCTGATCTGATATATATGTTTCCTCTCTGCCATTGTTGTCCAAAAACTATTAAGAACCCTTGACTGGGGGACTAGTTTGTTTTGACTCAGTCACACATACATCATCCTGTTGCTCACTAACGTGCATTAATCCACTGGCGAAAATAGTCGCCAACAAATTCATTACTTCCTGCTGTTTGAGTAACATTTCGTAAACAATGAAATTAATTCGTATTCAGTGAAGATCACTTAACCTTCTTCTTAAACTCTATATTTGTGACACAGATTTAACACTTCATGGCAGCATGAATTAATATACTTGAAATACGCGATATTATTTCCTGATTCCAAATCCTGGATGTGATTAATTCAATCTGGTTTCATACAAGCAGAAAACATTTTAGCATTAAAGCTTCAATGCTGCTGCTACAATCAGCTCCTGCTCGTTTCGGTGGATAAAAATAAGTGTTTTGAAAAAGCAGTTTCCACAGGTTGTGACCCGGCAGACACTGACCCGCGGTTCTGTTGAACAGGAAGCGCTGTCCGTGGTGAGTGAGGATCAGCCCATATTCGAGCCAACCTACCCCGCAGCCCCGGCCATGCACATGAAGACCGAGATGACGTCGCCCGGCGGGTTCAGCCAGACAAACAAGCAGAGCCCCGAGCCCACTGAGCCGGAGTGGGTGGGGCCAGGAGCACCAAGTGCTGGGAAGAGAGAACAACACGTCAATGGCACCAGGTGAGTCACGGCACGCCGAGGCCACAGGAGAGCGCGGGTTCCCGTATTATCTGACTCGAGTCCACGTTGGTATGTCGGGTTTTCCACATACTAAAAATATTTGTTTATCGTTCACTTCCCAGATTCCCGCCTCTGATTGTGATCACGGCTTTGTTCATTTCCCCCCCACCATCGCTACAAAGCGTGGGCTGGCTGTGATGGAAATTTGGGTCCCTATGTTCAATATTTTAATTTCCTGCATTATTGTGGTCCACCTGAACACGCTGCTCACTTTATACTGCGCTGCGTTTACACTCCGCAGCTACGTAATAAAACATGAAACACACAAAAAACATTAAGCATATACTTTCCAAAACTTTTGGCTTCTGAGATATCAATGTTGTGAGCACCTCACAGATTCATTTGAAAACACAGACGTAAAATACAAATCAGTTGTTTGTTTTTCTGTCCCCGCTTCTTCAGTCAGAAACCGCTAAACTACTCAAACGTAGGCTGTTTATCAGCATCCACCTCCCACTGTGAGACATAAACACTATTAGACTGTTGCCGTTCTATTCATTTCAAATGTGACATCCATCACAGCTGGCATTTGAATGAATAAGTACTTCTACTTTTGCTACTTAGACTGAAAAAAGAAAAATCTTGTAGAACTTTTTAAAAGCATTTTTCCACATTTGCATAAGGCTCTGTGTAGATCTAATAAGATATCCTAACAAGGCTTGAACAGCTTTTTCATTTAGTAAAGTCAGTGTATTTTTTTTAAGTCTTTCTTTTCCTATTTGTTGCATGTTAAATCTAATTGACAGGGATTTATGTCCATTTTTAATAGAAATCCTTTAATTCAAATGGACTTTTTTAAAAAGTTAACTTATTGCAGCACAAGTAATCCCTTTGCACTGAAAGCTCAGACTACTCTAAATGCTTAGTTTTACAGATTTCTTTGGCTCAGTATGATGTCAGAAATCATTATTAAGGCACACAAGCTCAGGCTTTAAGCACAGAAGCCACGTCTTCTTTCTGTTCTTACCTTGTGTTTGTGATAGGCACCCAATCACACTGCAATCCCATTAATGGCGAGGTAGCTAACCAAAACTGATTGTTTCAGACCGCATGAAGCAAGTGGCTGCATGAAGCCTGACGTAGTGAGTCATTCTCAACAGGACCAGCAGGTTAACAGTGCTGATATGGAGATGGTTGCCAGTTTAGCAACCAACTTTCACAACTTTGACCATCTAATGTGACGGTAAATATTACCGCTTCAATAAAAGAACTGAATAAATACAGAACGTGCAAAACACTTCGGGTAAAGCTCAAAAGTTTTGCTCCTACCAAAACTACCAGATACAAGTGCCTGTATTGTGTTTACTGGGATTCTATGATCAGCAAGATTTCAGCTGGACTTTGAATTTGAAGTAAAATCCCAAGTCGGTGAAATATTCTGGAACCTCCTTCAACTCTGAAGCTTTTAAACAAAATAAATCAAACAAGAATAACATGAAAAATGACTTCAACAAGTTACATTCACAAATACAAATATGATTTTTAACCTTGACACATTTACATCTGCTTTCTATATTTAAGTGTAGTACACTCTGCTCATACCATTTCTGCACCGTTATTTAAGTAGGGCTTTTAATTCTAGATCAGCGCTACTGAGTGCAAGTATTTTCTAACAACTTCTATTTTTATGCAAAAACTGTCTATGTGGTGAAAACTGGGTTAAATTAGTGATGCACGCCACCTACTCCTGACAGGTCATTTCAGTGGAAATTGTTGCAGAGAAACAGTTTGACTAAATTTACCTCCTGTCATATACAGACTAGCAAAAACTCTGAGAGGAAATGTAGCTGGCTGAAACTGCATCCAGTCTATTGTCACAGATTTTTCTCTCTTCATAATTTGACTGTGGAGAGTAATTGATATATTCCCGAGACATTTAGAAGACTGAAATTGCTCCTCAGATGCTGACTAAAGCCTCTCTTTTCCTTTTGTCGTAGTCGCGAGTCCCCAGTGGATTGCAGCGTCACCAAGCGTTCCAGACACATGAGCAATGAAGGGGCCTCGATGCAGTACCAGGCCTCCTCGTACACGGAGCCCCGCGTCAGCCCCCAGGCCACCACCCCACCCAGCAGTGCCACTGAGGAGAAGAGGGTCATCGTGCCAGCAGGTGAGCTGAGCCACTCACATGAGCTGGCGCTCAGCCGCCATGATGCATCACTGTCCCCATCACGAGACGGTTTCCCAACAGCCGGCACAGCCTGGGCTTGTGCAACATCAGTACTAACTGAATCAGAGACGGGCATGTGCGTGTAATTATTCGTCTCTTAAAAGAGCCCCAAGAGCCCCGGAGCACAACAGATAAACAATAGCAGGTTTCTAGCAGTTGTGGCACAAGGTGACATCAGGCTTTCAAAAAAAGTGTGAAGTCTAAAGTGCAAAATTAACGCTCAGGACTGTGATATTAACAAAAGAGAGAACAAGCAAGAACAGACCTGATGAGCAGGCTTCAACATTTTCAGTTTTAATCAGCTCGCTTCCTTTTTCAGGACTGTAATGAAAATACATAAATAACCAGCAGCTACGTCTGAAAACACAGTATTTAAATATTCTTTGAAATGAATTATTTTTTAAACTCAAAGCAAACCTAAGAAATCACATAAATATGTGTGCACCACATTAATACATCACAGGAATTTATCTCAAGGGATGCTTTAAATAATTAACTGAGCACTTCTGCCATAGAAGTTCATTTACTCTCACTTTATTTTACTTTTTATTTTAATGCAGAATTGCAACGAAGCAGGTATGTAATACACAGATTTCACTGTAATATACATCAGGAGATCACATGAAGATTATTATAATAGTGTAATGTAACTCAAACAGCTGGTAGTATTAGACTGCAAAGCTCCTATTTGCTGTGCTTTTATAGCAAGAAACTGTGTACAACATGGTTTTTATGGTATATTAATCAGCAGGAACATGCAGGCATATTTCAGCAGCTTTCATACCTGTTAGTAAATCTATATCGCTATAAAGCTAATAATAAATGTTTGTCCAACCAAACATCCAACGATTTAAAATCAACAAGCCACTGCTGCACTGCGGTAAGATTTTGTAAGGCAAAAGAAGTCCAATATCCAGAACTTGAAAGTTGCTTTTTATGATTTATTTATCCAGTTTGGCAAGCAATAAACAAAGATCCATTTTTGCTGCTTCCAGCTGCTTCTCCTGCTCTGGTAAAAAACCATAGGCCCACCCCAGTGCATGCTGGTCCTATACCAGTCCCTTTACTTGCAGAAAATGGCCCTACTGTTCTTCCTGGCTGACTTAACAAGATAAACAACAAAACAAAGCAAAAAATGAAACAAGTATTGACCTACAAATAAAACTTATAACGAAAAATATAAGTCAACCAACAACAAATTTCAAAATAATAAAAATAACGAATAAAAAGCTCCAACAATAAATAAACAAATATTTACTTCACATTCTTCTACAGCAACAGTATCTATCTTTAAAAAGTACACATTTGAAAGGTATTAAAAAAAATCTGAAATGAATGAGACTGATGTCGTAGCCACCGGCTGCTTTTCACATCTGTTGATCTTCTGAGAGTACAGAACAACACCAGCCCTAATATTTAATACACACAAGGCTGATACTCATCAGACGAATGTGAACATGACAAAACAGGAAGGATGTGTCGCTGCGACTAATTCAGTGTATCGTTTTTATAAGTCGTGGTGTCGATGCAAGTTTGTTTCAGCTGAGCGATGTGAAAAATGCACCGATCTCTCTGTTTGCAGAGGAAAAAAGTCGCCCATGCACAAACTGGATTAAACACGCCGATGTGTCATTTCTAGCTGAGTAGTTCAGTTTGCTGTCCCTTTTATCGCTGCTATGAATCACGGGTCCAGTCATCTAAATTCTTCCTCTGTCACAGCTTCCCTGATTTTGTCATCCCCAGAGACTCGTTAAACAGACAGCATGTTTCAGTGCACGTTTCAGCTGGCAGGTGAGGTGGATGATTTTAAAATTAATGTAAAAATCATCCGTGAGTCACCATCACAGAGTTATTCTGCCTTATAATACACGGATGTTGCATCACAGCAACACGTGTTGATCAGAACAATCAGGAGCTAAAGGGCAGGATAACGTCCGCTCAGAGCTGAAGCTGCCGTCCAACATCACAGCCAGTTCACAGCACACAGTCATTGTTTGCTGCTGGAAATGAGCTTCCTGAATCGGACCAGGTATATTTTAACAGATCAACACCAAGCCAAGCTGAAGCTGCCACTGACTTGAGCTTAAAAACATGTTAGGCTCTTAGCACACAGGATACAATTAAAGAGTACAATATTCAGCATTATATAAATGAACAAGAACATGTATTGGATCCCTCAAACAATAACAAAAAAGACAATGAAAATCTAAATGAGCAAAAAGAAATATTCAAGATGAAGTCTATCTCTGTGAGATGCATATTACTACAACACGATTAAAAAAATACTTTTAAGGCTAGAATGAGTAAAAAAACAGTAGAGTTTAGAGTTTAGGAAATTTCATCATGCGGTGTATATATATCAGAAATATGTTCGTTATTACTTCTGCAGATTATATCAGTAAGGAAGCTGATTAAATATTGACTAATGACATATGGCAAAGGGGTGAGATTAAAAAAATATTTCTATGTCCGAACAAACGTGTAATCAGAGTTTACTCAAAAATGTTTTTTTTAACATGTATTGTATGTAGATTATGAAATATTGGACTCACACCAATGTTTCACCTTTACAATAATAATTTGACCAATAGCAGACCGGTACCATCAATACCAATGTTTCTCTCATTTATTCCCAGTTTGTGTGCAAATCGAATATTAAAATCTTTTTTCATTATTATAAGTTTCAAAGCCTTTCAGCGCTTCATAATAATTTAGAACACACAGCTGATGGGCCATTTTCAGTCCCACCAGCTGCCACTACAACACTAATGCATGTCAAAAATGTAAAACACTCCCACGTACATGAAATATGCTTAATGAACGTAAATATAGACGGCTTTGTCAAAGCCACTGTAATATTTCTAAAAAGCTGTTTTCAGCTCAGTATTATGGTCATTATTTACTCCCTGAATATTGAGCCCTTCAGGGAAATCAAGAGCGCAGATGGAGAAGCAGTTGAACAGTCAGAAGAAAAAAACAAAAAGAGAAAACACATGGCTGAAACCAAAGAACAGCTTATTTTAAATGTAATTTTCCTAATTATGCACGTACATATAACAGAAGTGTTGTCATAAATTTTAAGATGACTATTGATTTATTAAAAGAAAAAAGAAAAACAATCCCGGCCTCAAATTTCAGTTGACTTCACAGCCCTTTAAAGATCACCAGATACCCTCTGAATGGCTCCACTGGATGAACTTTTATGACTATAAATATAAGCAGGACCCATTTAAACGTGTTCTCTGGTTAGGGGTGTGTTATCTGTTTTGACAGTGTGGTTATTCCCACCCTACCACCTATTTTACAATCACTATCAGAATCACTAAGAAGTATCCGGTGTTAATCAGCACTTTCATGACCTCCAAAACAAACAGGTCGTATTTAGCTGTGTGCTGAGTGCTCTTTAGACCGTTGACTCTTTCATCCCCCCCAATGTGATGGTGTGAAGGATTACAGGCGAGCACTGCTGGTATTTAAAGATTCCTTCCTGACATTTTAGAAAACGTAATTTTCCTGACATCATAAAGGTAAAACTTCAATTTTGTAAAAATTAACATCTTAATCTTCACATCCAGGCTGCAGTGCTGAGTTAAAGAAAATCCAGGTTTTAAACTCGTGTGAAAGTCTTCACATCAAAGCTGAAGTTACTGCTTGAGCTAACCACTCCTGGAAGTGTTTTCACAGGAAATCAGTGACCAGATTAATCAGAGTAATTTATGGTAATTCCCCAGTAAGTAGCTTCTACAATTTCCTGTTTGAAAGTTTCTGATACACAAAAAGCAGAACAGCCTCACAAAGGATGTTCAACTCTTCAAAAAAATGCCAAACATGAGTGAAAGTCTGTGTAATAAATGACTAAGCGCCTCTCTTCAATTCCAGATCCTGAGGTGTGGACGCAGGACCACGTGCGCCAGTGGCTGGACTGGGCCATCAAGGAGTACGTCCTGGAGCAGGTGGATGTCATGCTTTTCCAAGCGCTTGATGGGAAAGCCCTGTGCAAGATGACCAAAGACGACATGATGCGGCTCACGTCGGCCTACAATGCAGACATCCTGCTCTCGCACCTCAATTACCTCCGGCAGAGTAAGGCTGGCTTCATGTGTGAGATCTTGCTCTGCAGCTGATAACATTGTTCACGTCTCGCAGATTTCAAAGGTTTTCAAGTGGCAAAAATGCATCGAACACGAGGATCTAACAGTTCCCCGACGCAGCTGCGTTAGTCTCGCTTCAGTCTCACTGAAGCATTTCCATTTTTGTCCGTGTAATGAAGATCTTCTGAAATTAAACACTCGGAAAAGAATTGCAGCAAAAACCATTTTTGAAAGTGTGCATTTGGATTTTTTAAATATTTTTCCTGAGGTTTGTTATCTCAGAATTGGATTTACTGATAAATAAACTCCACCCAGGTATCAGTGCAGTTAAGAGAAACGCAGATTCATTGGGGGCAAATAAAGAGTTCATGATGTTTTTTGTTTTGAGGAACATGATGTCACTTCAGGCTCTCGTTTGTTGTTCTGTTAACCAAATTTGTGGTCTTCACTGAGCGTTGTGGCCACTGTTCCTCTTTGCAAAAGCAGGTTTCCTGTGTTTCGCATAACACACGTACGTCACCATGAGTTTGGATCCGTACTACATTACATAATTTACCAAGTGTTTGTGACTGAAGCAGCAGCAGTTTGACGAGTGCAAATCACTGCAGTCATCGTGTCTGAGCTGGTTCGACAAGAGGTGGACAAATGAACAGCAGCATCCAGTGTTGCACTGAGGGTGGGCTGTGAGGAAGACAATGTGGGTGCTTAGTAGCCTTGAGGTTAGGGAAGCAGACATTTTGAATTAACAAAAATCAAAGTAAAGGTTGCAGGAAAAGGTTTGAGGTTTTAAATGTTCGAAAGCCGATTTAAAAAAGATTAAAAAGTAGTGAAACAAAAACAGCCGTGGCGATTAATTTACTGCAGAAAATGATGCAGTGTTTGTAAAAGTATTTCTTTCAGTATCACAGGAAATGGTCCTCTCAGATCCTTCCAGAACTTTTCTGGTGAATTGGCACCTCAGTCTTTGATAGATCCTCATTTCTTTAAATAAAGCCTGAGTTTTCACCTTCAAGTTATCCTACTGGTTCACGAGGCATTCACAGTCCATTCTTTTCAACTGGCTGGACAAAAAAGTCGAGTCTGTTGAAGCAACAGGAAAAACAAAGCACCCCCACCCCACAGTTATAACGTTATGCTTCTGACACACAGGACAGGCACTACTCTTTCTACTCTGCTGTGCTTGTTTAAAAGAATATAACATTGATTTTTATTTCATTCTTGAATCTTTTTTCCCCAGGTAGTCCAACGTTCTCCTACCCAACAACTCCCACCAACAACACACCACCACAACAACAGCCGCCCAGACAGGTGAAAACAGGTGAGATCAACCTCTGGCACATTTCACCCATTTTCAGGACAACACATTCTCCTAATCAGCTTCTTTGTGTGATGAGGTCCCAAATATTTTAATACCTAACATGAGGGATTTTGTGTTGTTGCTTAGTGAAAAATCATAATTAGCAACACTAACATCAAAGTTGTTCAGTTATCCACCGATTCCACATATACTAAAAGGTGCCCTTCACCTCAGAATTGAATATAAATATATATATTTTAATGTATTCATTTTGCTTTCGACTGTCTGCATCCATCACCCAAAAGTTGTGCACAGCTAGCTAACTTCAGTTCAGTTCAAAGAGGCAGTGTTGGTAATATTTACCTTCCGTCACGAGCACGAGGCCTAGTGTCAGATACACACTTCCTTCTGCACTGCGATACAGTTAGCGGGTGTAGTTTGATAGAAACAAATAGTTCCTACATGAAACCACTCACAACAAGGTTTGTGGAGGTTTTCAGTAACCTGGTCACGATTTCTGGTAAGACACACGGCTGCTTAGGTTCTCAGATGTATTTTTTGTTTTTGCCGCTTTCAGCACCACAAAGTTACTGTGAATTAGTTGCATTACGTACAAGGAAAGGATGACATTTCTTGGGGTCATGCAAGGTTCATTTTGGGGTGAACTGTAATTAAACTCAGTTATACCGTCATCGTCCAGATGAAGCTGATTAGCTGACTTGTGTTAAATTAATAAATAAATTCTAATTTGAGGTTTCGGTTTACTGGGACTGTTATTTACCAAGTGTTGCATTAAAACCAAATCTGAAGGGAGGTGCATTTTTATTTTATGCATTGTTTCTATAAAAGTACATTTCCATTTAATACAGGATGTTAGGGTTCTGAAAAATAGAACAGTTCATAATATTGTGGTCATTCTTCAAAATGAGGTCGCGATAACAACTGTGCAGGACTGAAATGTATAAAACGCTTGGCTGTTAGACTGTCACGAGTCACTGCACTTTCTGCAGCAAAACCATCACAATCATCAGAACTGATACTGAAATGATAAAAACAAACCAGTTTTTAATTAAAATGCAGTGGATGTTTACTCGAGTATTGTAGTTAAAGTAAATTATGGGCACCTCAAAATAATTTGATTTTAGGGTATTTTTATGTGTTTAGTCTTAAATTTCAGAGGGAAACAATACGTTCCTTTCTCCTGCACTGCATTTTTCTAGCGGGCACGCTCTGTTTTGCGTAACTATTTTTAAATCCGGTAGCTCTGCAACCACGTCAGCTAGCGCAATAATTTTTTTTTTTTTTTTTTGCATATGAAACCAGAGGAGTTGTACTTACATCTTATGCCATCAGCTTGTCCTCGGTCACAGTTTCCTTCCACATATAGCTTTGAAAAAACTGCATAAAAGCACTTGCAGCAACAAAAACATAATATTCCAGAAACAGGCTTTGCCGATCCGATCAGCTGTTCGTAACACTTCCTAAATTGGAATAGATGTCAGCGCAAACTTTTGCATGTCCGCCATGAACTGCCCGAAACAGGAAGTGACGTCATTTTCGCGGAAATGTAGTTTTTTTTACCATCAGGGCCTCATGAGCCCATACTGGTGTTTTTAAAAGTTTTCTTTGACTTTCTAACTTTCTGTGTCGTTTCTGGGATGCTTAGAAGTCATATTGCACTGCTGGAAATAGTTTATTTTGATGCATATGCAGCTTTTTTGCTAATTTGCACTATAATATTTATTTTCGTTTTTCCTGCAATATATAAAAATTGGTGTATTTCAGAAATAAAACTATGAAGACACTCAAAATAAATTTCCTGTGGTGGGAAACTATTTTGTGCAACTTTTTTCTATTTACAGTTTTGAGGGATAAGCCTCTTAAATTTCTCTAACTAGAAATATATGTTAAAAAACAAAAACCATTTAATTTTTTTGTAGTTTATTGCACTTTTTTGCAATTTATGTAATTACTATGCACTTAATGCAGACATATTATTAAGATTTGGGCTATAATGGTTGCATTGATGTATAGCAACTTGAAATGCTCCCAAAAATGGCTCCACAACATGTAAAAATATAATATAAGCTCTGGCGGGCTTGGTTCTATGGTAGGTCTTAAAGGGTTAAAGGTTGCTGATCACACAAACATAAAAACACACACACACACAAAAAAAAAAACAAACAGCTACAGTAAATGAAACCATTGTGAGACATCAGGATTTCCAACCTTTTCTTGTTTCAGGTTTATGTGAACAGCAGTCTTTCCTCTAAACCTCACTGCAGACTCTTATTTAGATCATGTCCTGAACTCTGAGGTTACATTTTCTAATAATACAAACAGCATAACTGTCTTTCATTTCTTTCATGCTTACTACCAAACTACTTACCTAAAAGATTTATAATTAAAAAAAAAATTAGAGTAGTTCAAACTAGGCTTTCTACCATGACCAGTAAACTGTACTTGGTGTACTCTGTAACTGTTGAGCATGAGCACTATTATGGACAGCCTCTCCGTTGCTACTTTAAGCATTCATAGCAGATACTGTGGTATGATTTTATTTGGAGCATTGGAGGATTCAAAATTAACCCATTGGGCTTTTTTTGTTTCATACTTTAATTGCTGTACTATATTCAAGTAGCTTAGTATGATCACTATTCAAAATAATCTATATGCATCTATATCCGCCCCCTTAATCCTCCATCTGAAAGAAGACATTGTAGCAGTTTCTCCTTTAAGACAACTTATGATTGGCTGCTGCTCATAAACAGTATCTGAGCTGGGTGGGGCTTTGTATTCACGGGTAGAGATGTCTGATACCATACAGAACCAAGAGTTAAATTAAAAATATATATTTTAGATGTGTCCTTGATCCAACACAGCTGATTTAAATGGCTAAATTTCCTCCTCAACATGTCTTGAAGTTCTCCAGAGGCCTGGTAATGAACTAATCATCTGATCCAGGTGTGTTGACTCAGGGCGATGTCTAAAACCTGCAGGACACCGGCCCTTGAGGCCTGAAGTTCCCCACCCCTGGATTACATGATGGTGGGGCAATGTCTTAGAGATGTTTCACACCTTGGCCCCGGTGACAGTAACTTTTTTTCTACACCTTGGCTCATGTGACAACAAATGATTAATAACTGATCAGTGACCCAGAGGTGAAACATCTTCACAAACATTTGAGATGGCTTCCTGTACAGCTGGTGTAGGAGGGAGTAGCTTGTAATAAGTACTGATGTGTCTCAGCATTGATAAAGTGTTTCTGTAAGAGGTGGATCAGGACACATTAGCATCTACACTCAGTTACTGGACATTCAACTTGTAGTACTCACTGCACAACTGTGCAGTAGTTCATGTTTGCCACAGTTTGCTATTAGTCATAGTCTGTGTTTCAGGTTGCTTGATGCAACTGGTGGTTTTTTCCATTTTTTCATTTCCATCACCCACAGCCCCTCTCTGTGGGGGCCGGGTTCTGGTGGGGGTCTCTTCCTTTGACTTGTGTCGCCTACGATCATCTGATTATTGAGGTTCTCGCCTTGAGTTCAGAGTTATTATAGTTTTGTGTTGTTTCATCAATTTCCATTTCATTTGACTACAAAGCCTTGAGGTGACTGTTGTTGTGATTTGGCACTATATAAATAAAACTGAAATGAACTGAACAGACTTAAGTCTAGCTTGAAGAGGAGGTTTGCTCATTTTAGTTTGAGTTTTTATTATTATTGTGTGGAGGGCATATGTCAGGGTCAGCACAGGTCTTACAATAAAAACACAGTTGACTTACATTTTGTAGACATCCAAGACAAACTGTGATTAAATTTGACTTAAGTACGAAGTAATAAAACGTCCTCTATATTTTTGTTTCATTCGTTAGTTTTCCAAGTTCACAAAATTGTTTCAGTTGTATTTTCCAAGTCTATTTTTTTGTTGAGTAAAATATTTTGGGGGGGGGTTTTACATCTAGTTTTAGAGTTTAGTTTTAGTTAACTAAAATTAACCTTGCTTGAGAGAACCATTGTTGTGAATTGGTGCCATATTACCCAAACCCTGAATGAAATCAAAGCTTATGAGCGCAGGGTTTTAACAGAGGCCTGAACTACCAGAACATTTAAGGATTTAAAAATGATGTGCCGAGTTTCAGAACCATGTTGCCCAGTGCCAAAGTCTGAAAGGCTCCTTGGCACAACATTGGACTCGTTGGTTTTGGGGCCAAACTCAACAGCCAGTTTCAAACAGGAAACAGCTGCACCGACAAAGGAAATGAGGGGGTATGGCTTCGGCTCCTGGGACAAAATTCACAATCTTGTGGCAACAAGGGTGGTCTGAACAAAAGAATGCTCTCCCAAGAAACTACGGGTCATCTCAAGACCTCCAAAGCCTTATCATTGTGGTCTCGGTTTACTAAACTTCCTTCCTACTATAGCTCACTCGTCTTAATGTCCACTTCAAAGATTTTAATGCTCGTCAGTGTCTGGTCTCATCCTCATTGTGTTTGTGTTCATACAGAGAACAGTTTTGATGAAATCAGCCGCAGGAACAGCTGGCCGACAAACACCATGACTACAGTGCCTAAAGGTATGAAAAAAAAGACGATATGAAACCGATAATAAGGATGAACTTTTCATGCAAGAACACCCAATGGTTTTGCATTTTCTCTGGCTTTAACACAGCAGAAAAATCAAACAATTTCACACATTATACACAAGTTTTATTTATTTTTTTTAGGTTCTTCAATGGAGCACCAGCACAGTTCACGAGTTACAGAGCCTGCTCCAAGGATTGGGCAAGGTACGAAGACCACATGTATGTTTAGGCAGATCCTGCTTTACTGCTAACATTTTCTTCTTCTTTTTTGGCTCTAACTCATTGCACCCCTCACTGTAGGAAGTATGGGAAAATGAGGAGTCACACAAAATGATATGCAAATGACATCGGTGCCTTTTTAAATGTTTGTTTTCAGTCTATCGAGTCAACGAGCTTCATCTAACAATTATTTCCTTCTTAGTTAACTCACCACAAGCACAATATGGGACAATGCTGTTAGTTTTAATTAAACTGATGCACAAACCTAAACTTTGATTGTAAAGAAAGACAAAGCTTGTGGCCTGAAAGGTCACAGGATCACCAAAGAAACTGCTGAAACACAAATCTGACTGCAATCATTTAACAGTTGGAGACGATCAGATATTGGTTGTGGCTAAAGTGGTGAACTGATCACACATCCCTTATCCCTTAGGCATTATATTAGTTTGACAGGTTTCATTGTGCTCACGTTAGAACATTTGAACTAACCTCCTCAAAAGACCACATTCAAAGCTCTGATTGGTCGAGCGTTTCTTCAATCTCAGCTTGAATTATGCTTATGTGTGCAAGAAAATGTGTTTTAACTCATTTCAGGGCATTTAAATCTTGGAGCATTAATATTAAAGTGACAATGTGTAAAAGTAATATTCCTTTTCTTCTTTACAGACCCATACCAGACATTAGGACCCATTAGCAGTCGGCTAGCCAACCCAGGTAAGAATCTGAACCATCATCAAGATAAATAGACAAGGACGATACAAATGAGGCCTTTACACTGTCTGCTTTGGCATCATGAGAAGCAAGCAAGCAAGCAAGGGCTGGCACACATGCACTTACTTTCCAAAGTGGAGTAAACACCAAGCAACAGCTGTTGTGTCATCACGCTTTACGCTATGACAAAATCCGGCTTCCCTCTCACCAGAATGACTGTTTGCCCTGCTGTTTCCTCACAGAAGGCCAAGCCCTCAACTCATCCAAGAACCGAACAGGCAAACAAAGTGCATACAAGCTCCCTGACCCCAGCGCTCACAGGCCTGTGGGTAGGTTTCTGCCCTGATGTCTATCACTTCAACCAAGCCACACAGTGAAAAGGTCACATTTGCTGAGAAAACAAATAAAGCATATTCTGACTTTTGTTTGGAACTCGTTACACTCAGAAAACCTGACGAGCTATCCAAGAGCAAATGGATCCATGATGAGGCATTTAATCCTATGAGGCTGAAGTAGCCAAGTTACCCTAACTCTGTATTCATTCATTCACTTATCCTGGAAACTAAAAGTGTTTTGACTTTTTTCCTGTCAAGACTTGAGAACTCATTTAGAAATTGGAGAAAAAAAACAAAAAACCTTTATCTTTACACAAATTTAAATGCTAATTTTAAAGCCGACCTGTTTACATTTTTAAACACTGATGATTGTATTCCTTGAAAATAAATAAATATAGGCACAAACCGTTTCCTTTCTTGTTTTGAGCATGCAGTCACTGTTAAATCAGAACTCTGTGCCTTAACTCTCCTGCGTTTATCCTCCCAGGCTCAGGGCAGATCCAGCTGTGGCAGTTCCTTCTGGAGCTTCTGTCTGACAGCAACAATGCCAGCATCATTACCTGGGAGGGTACCAACGGCGAGTTCAAGATGACCGACCCGGACGAAGTGGCCAAACGCTGGGGTGAGCGCAAGAGCAAGCCAAACATGAACTACGACAAGCTGAGCCGCGCCCTGCGCTACTACTACGACAAGAACATCATGACTAAGGTGCACGGCAAGCGCTACGCCTACAAATTTGACTTCCAAGGCATCTCGCAGGCACACCAGAACCACTCAGGAGATGGTGGGATTGTTAAGTACCAGAATGAGATGTCTTATGTCCAGACCTACCACAGCCACCAGCCCAAAATGAACTTCATGGGTGGCCATCCTGCACCTATGCCCGTCTCCCCTGGAAACTTTTTCGGCCCACCGTCACCATACTGGAACTCACCCAACAGCCCCATCTATCCTGGGTCAGCCATGACCAGACATCCTGCCACTCACTCCCACCTGAGCTCGTACTACTGAGCATGATGCCAACTGCACAGAAAAACAAACAAAACAGGAGAGGAACCCAAGTGCACCAAAGCACGCTCCGTCTCACCTGCCACCGAGCTGAACTCTGTTGAAAGAAGGCGAAATGACGCCATCATTCAAATTTTAAAGGCATTATTAAGTTGTCTTTGTTACGTTCCGTCTCAAAAACAAAAAAAACCAAAAAAACAAAAAAACCACGGACAAACATGAGGGTATATTAACCCTGGTATTGTATGCTTCCAGGAGTTTTATAAATAAACTCATAATATACTATATTAATGGTTATTCAGTTACGAATTTTTTCACACATCTGTAAAATACTTTGTTTGATATTGACTGTTGTAAAGACAGACGTCATAGTAGCATAACAGATCTGCAACTGTTCTTTTCACTTCACAGGTCAAAACAGTTATCCCTGACTTTTTGTAAAAGGGAAATTGTACAGAATTAACATGTAGCAATAAAACAAATGCTTGATGTAAAGCTAATAAATAACGCCTGTATGAGGAAAGAAAAAGATCTGATTTTATGTTTACAGTTAAAAACAAAAACAGCAACAACAACAACAACAACCACCCAATCCACTCGGAGGAAAGTTGACCAAAGAAGGTCCCATACTGCAGCCCACAAAACCCAAACCATCTGTCATCAGAGACCCCAGGACATCCTCAAAGATCCCACACGCCTTACAGCAGCACAAGACACCTTAGATGGTCCTATATTAAATTATAGCACAGCAAATCTTTTAATTCATAATAAACAAGCTAACAAGAAGCTGGATGCAGCTTTGCCATTTACAAAAGATGGATGTAGCCTTTGGGTCTGAGATGTTCAGTCAGTGTAGAAGTGCTTTAAACTCCTCGGGATCTAAACAGAAGACCAACTGTATACAAGACTCGGGGAAAACTATAACATCCATTCATCCACCCACTCTATCACCCTGTAAGAGGGGCCCATCCCAACTGTCACAGGGTGAGAGAAGTGGGGCACACACAAGACGGGTGGTCATTCAATCACACCTTCAACCAATTTAGGATGGCTATGCCTTTGCTTGTTTTTGTACCGTGGGAGGATCTCTGCATGACCATGAAGAACCATGTAGACACAAGAAGAACATGCAAACAGGGCGCAGCTGGCTGCTCGATTCAAACCAACAATCTTGATGCGAGGCGACAGCGCTGACCACTGCACCACTCTGCCCCACAAGTTCTCGCCGTGCCGTCTTATGCATGACAACATGGTGAAAAATAACACTTCACTACCAGCGCCTGAATTTTTACAGAAATAGAAATGATGACAAAATGCTCATTGAATTGAAATTAGTTGCATTCATATCTTCTCTTACTGTTGGAGAGATGATCCAGTGTGAGTCCTGCATTTCTTTCTCTCTGTGATTGAAGTCCAAATAATTATTGATAGTACAGAAATGTCTAAACTGAGTCACTGCACACATTAAATTCACACTAACATGCTTTGACCTACACATCTGGTCCTCACAAACGACAAGATGGCAGACCTGGAGCTTCACAATGAAGTTTATTTTCTATAGAACCTATGGGGGTGTCCACTTTCTCACCCATCGCTCAGTAAGTATGAGATTGAATTTCCAATAATCTTTATGTCATTGTTTATAGATTTAGTGATGCAAATCAAATAAAGGTAATCAATTTGCTCAGTATCAACAACAACTTTCTCAAACTTGTTTACCACAGAAAACATTTTTGCAAAAATATAAGTGGAATTAATTTGGTTTGAAATTAGAGACCCGGAGGAAGCTCGTCGCTGATCAAACTCCAGCTTTATTTGTCAAAATCAAATATTTCTTCAAATATCCGGCGGGGTTCTGCGATCACCTCCTCCACAGAAGCAGAGCCCTTCCCCTGCTTTTCCTCATCTTCCTCCTCAGTCCACATCACTCCACCACCTCCAAACGGCCACTCCAAATCCTTCACCGTTTTCTCCACCTTATCCATCGGAAGCGCTGCTGTCACCACCGGCTGTGACGTCCACCTCCACTCAGTCATGACTGACTCCGGTGCCGCTGTTGTTTTGATGGAGATCGTGTTCCTCTTCAGGGAGCCGATGGCTTTCGCTTTAGGTTCTATGGTCCACGGCCGACTGCTGATTATTTGAGTCTCTGGAAAAGTTGAAAATGTTTTAATATTCAATCATTTAATTCCAGCAGAAAGCAAACAATTTTTTTTTTTTTTTAAACAAAGAAAAGTTTAAGTGATGATTCACCATTGGATGCTGAAGAGCTACAGTTGGAGTCACAGCAGCTGCACACTGTGTCTGATCCATACAGCTCAGCCCATCTGCACAAAGCAGCAAAGACAACAGACGCTTTCAATATCATCATATCACAGCGTTTTTAAGAAGAGCTTCAGGGGAAATCTAACCTTCTGGCCTTTGTGTCGTAGTTGCAGGACTTGGCTGTGGGTGTAGGCACCGAACTGCCCACAGACATGATGCAGTGCATGTACAGCTGCTGCAGCAGATACAGAAAAAGCAAGTTTACTCTATTAGCTTTTAAATCGCTTTATTCAGTCAAACCACACTGACTCCCAGATATTCCCAAAAATGTTTTTTTTTTTGTTTTGTTTTGTTTTTTAATATGGGGGCCAAATCTAACCCAATTTAATTTAAAAAGGGGTCAGCCATCCAAAACCACTGAATTTTTACAGTTACACATGCACAGGCTTAGCAAACAATTAATTTTGCATGAAGCAAATGATTAACAGTGAAAGATGAGTAATTATAACAATGCGCCTGCATAAAGAAGCTCTTTGCTTGTTTTAAATATAAGACTTCTGCTTTACTCAAATTTTTAAATCAAGCGGGTAAAGGCACATGTCGAGATCTACTTACTTCTCAGTACACATGCAAGCCATCACTGATTTACGGCAAAGAACTTGGGATAAAATAAAGTACAAGAACATATGAAGCACATTATAGTCTGGTGACACTTCGGCTGACCTGGCCCATCATTCCCTTGAACAGGAACGCATCCACAGAGAACCTCACAGCATCGTTTCTGTACGGGATGAACCTGGAGCGCCCGCCTTTGCTTTCAACCATACATCTTTATCAGAAAGAGAAAACAGCTGACCATGGCATGATTTTTTTTAATAATGCTTCAGCTTTTTTGACGTGTGACATTCATTACCCAAAGTTTCTCACAACAGGGAATCTAAGCGTGAATGTGTGGGACTTCTCTGGAGTGGCATAACACGAGTGGATGTACAGTCTCTCATCGTGGGACATGGGCAGGGCCTCGGCCTGAAAGTACATGGGCTTTCCGAGCACGTACTGATCTGATGGGGACAGCCTTTCCCATTTCGCTAAAAGGAAAATAGGACAGTAAATTAGCAGTAAAGCGACAGGAAAAGCACCTGCAAAGCTCACTCACACTTTAAAAACAAATCATTTTGATAGCAGTTGTGTGAAAGCAAGCAAAAATTCACCTGAATATCGACGGAATATCTACTGGACAAAGTATTTTCCAGACAATCTGCAAAATCCTTGACGTGTCAGTTAGGAGTAAAGTTGGTGCCAAAAACAAAATATTAGTAGCAAAGAATGAATCTCTGAAGTCAGCTTGCTACATGATTAAAACCTTGTGTTCCCTGGATATCTTAGCTCATAAAGCATCAACATATTTATGAGGGTGACGTCACCATGGCGCCACCAAGCAGTTTGTTTGTTAGCAGCATGACTCAAATAGTTATGAACACATCTGGATGAAATGTGGCACCAACTTAAGAAATTAATGTTTCTATTCAGATTCAATCACTATAGGGAGGATTTTTTATCTTTATGAAATACAACAAAACTGGACATTTAACTTGTGATCTTCATAAACACATATCAAATTGAAATAATTAAATGTTTGGTAATCTAAATAAAATACATCATTATTCCAGATATAAATGTCCTCCTGGATCCAAAGACTCATGATTAGTGTGGAGGAGTGTACTAGGATACTGTGCTTAAAGAAACAGTGACTCAGCAAAACCACACGAGTGATTTTGACATTAATCTGTTTCTAGCACCTGCACAGAGTTGCAAGCTTTGCATTTGTCACATTAACATCAAGGTCTTGCTTCTGAATGATATTGAAAAATGTTTATCAAAAATTAATTTAATTTGATAAACAAAGACCACCAAGAACCTCAGAAATCCACCGGGGTTTAATAACTGCACACATTTCTGTAGGTTTACCGTTTCGTGGCGTCAGACTGAATTTAGCTCCGTTCTTTACTCGTTTGAAGAGCCTGCGTATGGGCACCTTTGGTATGTAGCCAATTTTGTAGGTGTATTGGTACCTAAAAGGTTGTTAGCATTAAAAAAAAAAAAATGGAAAAACAGCATTAATAAACAGTTTGTGTGTTATGAATAAGTTTCTGTCTGTCCTCAATTTAATCTTTTAAGCTCACCTGTTAAAATAACATGACACAGGTAGGTTGAAGGGCACCACTCGCCTGATTGGTCCTTTGAGTCTCGGTGGGTCGTAACGAAGTGTGTTTGAATAGACAACCTGGTTATCAATGATCTACAACCAGAATTTTTATATTAACATTTAAATAAAACTTTGTCTACAGTTATGAGACAGGCTTTTATGGCTCAGCAGTGAGCTGAATGCCAACAGTGAATCACAGCAGGTGTAGACATAATCTTACTCAACATGTAATCCTAATCTTATGACTGAAGATTTAGTCAAAAAACTAAAATTCAAATATAAATTACTGCAGTACATGAAAATGTTATGGAAACATACATTTAAACTACTTTTATTGAAATATATCTATTGTTTTCTTATTTGTTCAATAGGAATATGAAATCTTACAGTAATGCTGACATCATCGGGTGTTTTGTGTCACCTGACCAAAACTCCAAACACTCAAAAAGGTTTATCTGACTGTGGTGTCCTACTACAGAGCCCCTTAGTGGACAAACGAGGGTATAAATATATAAATATGTCCACATCTTTCCAGCACAGAAGATTTCTCTATGCAATCAGATGAATAGTGCAATACTTTGATTAATTTGTGTGACAGAAATAAGTGCATATACAGACCGGTCATTGAAGCTAGGAACAGGGGGGCAAAGACTTGTCCTCCAGCTCTCAGTAAATATGTGTCCTTATGTTCTGTTAATAAATTTGCATTCATTGTGACTTGTTTTGCGCTACATATTTAGCATTTTGTGTTTTATTTAAAGGCAGATTTATTGATTAATAAGTCACTTGTTTAAGTTGGACTTTTGGCAGATTCTGTTCTGCATGGTTCTTGTAAAAAAAACAACAACAATCTCTTCCAGTATTTTTTCCCCATTTTGTGATCTTATTAAAGATGAATACGCTTAAACAGCAGCACAAAATTCCTGCTCTGAACTAAGAAAAATAATTTTACCCTGCCTGTGCTGTGCCAAGAAAAAGTCAGATATTGTTGAAATAGTATAATGGATGCTTCTGTATGCAACTCCAAAGATGGACATATTTACAGCTCATCTATAATTTTTCTTTTTCATATTTTGTGTGTGTGTGTGTGTGTGTGTGTGTGACAGTAACCCCTGTGAGCCAAAGGTCCAGTTTAACAGTTTCCCCCCGACTCTTGGCTCGGTGTGACGTCGTAAAGTTAGTTCCTCTGGCAGTGAGTACAGAAAAACAATCGCCTCCTGATCAAGCCTACATTTGCCAGGGGGAACCAATCAGAAGCAAGCTTTTTTTAAAGTGAGGTGAGGCATCTTGCTCCAGACAGAGGGTGAACTTGGGGCTGTAGGCCCGGTAATCGGTAAAATTAAACAAATCAAGCAAAGCTACTCTAGTGAGTCCAAGAAATAAGTAGTACCAGGCCCAGTTTAACCTACTGGAGCAAAGCCTGGCATATAACTGACATGTTCACCGTTTTAGATGTCGTCATTGGTGTAACAGTTCTGTGTCCACTGTAACCCACTAAAGACGCAAAACAAAGCTGTCTTTTTTAACTGGTTAATCATCTCGGACAAGAACAGAAAATCAGTATAATTCCGTTTTTAATTCTCTGGGGTCCTTTCTTGCCTGAGACTTACCGTGCGCTTGGTTCCACACATACCGAGGCCATACTCAAAATAAAAGTAATCCCTCGTGGATTTGCTGGCTGTGCACGTGCCCAGCTTGAGCTGAGACCGGGCTTCACCCGTTCCCAGAAGGCTCCTCTCCACCTGGACTTGCATCTTTGTCCGCTTACACGTAGTCTTCACGGAAACATCCGAGACGCTGGGCGGAGTGGATTTGGGCGGAATAGGGAGCAGGATGTCCCGGACGCGCTCGGGCAGAGGCTCCACTCCCGTGCCCCTGAGCGGAGAGAAGTACTCCTTATCCACCAGCGGCACTTGAGAGTCCAGAAACACCGGGAGGTGGAGGTACGGCGGCGAAAGGAGAGTCGGCGTTTCTCTCCGGGGAACTTTTCTCATCACCTGCGCTGTCTGCTCCGAAGGCCGAGGGGCCGCTGTCCCCGCTTCAGTGGACGCAAACACGGGCAGCAAGAGAAGGAAAGGTAGGTAAAGCATGCCCGGAAATCCCAGTGACATACAACAAAGTGTCCGAAAGGGCGGAAGGTTGGCTGTCACGGCTGATGATGCTCTCCTCATGTGGAGGTAAATTAACAACACCTGGCGCAGATGGACAGCAAAGGGCGCCACTCACCGGCTGTTTGAAGTAAAAACAACGTTTTGATGTTTTCCAGGAGGATCACCTGACCTCCCCCAGAATCAGCTGCTTTTTCATAGTTAATTAAAACGCGCAATCTCTCATACTATGAAAGATTTCCCAGTTACAGGCTCTGTTAGTACAGAAGGTTGCGTTGACATTTTGTGCTTTTACATTTGCTTTATTTTTCCAGCATTTTTTTTTGTCTTTCAGAAGTACAGAAGAAGACAAATATATTCAGTTTTCAGGGCAGAAAACAGCATGATTTTTGTTATTGAGCATCTGGTCATGGGATCAGCATCTCATCATGAAACATATATTTTCAATGCAAAATGCCACCAATTGAATGTCTATGATACAGAGGAACAGGAACAATTGGTACCCTGGATGTTTAGTCTATGCCTACATTTTGGTGCCAGGCTGTGACTCGTCACTGTTTGTGTTCTAAAAGGAGTGAAAAGATTCACCATCTGGTGACAGATGTTCTTATCCTGACTGTTTCAATAACAGGAATCGATTCAATCTGAATAAAAAAACCTTTACACTTCTACAGGTTGCATGCTTTGTAAAACCAACACATTTAACTCAATGGACCTCCAAAACACCTGCTGATATATACAAAGGACTGTTAAAGAAAGGCAGTAGTGATGTGCGGTACCACTGATTTCCTTTCCGTCGAGTCGTATCGACGATACTGATCCGATACCAATACTCTCTACAAAAACTTAATGTTTCATTGTATTTCATAATACAATATATAATTGTATTATGTAGTCGTAATAATATAACTTCATAATGATTACAGGACATCAGACTACTTGTTCATATTGCTTAATAATGTAGAATTATCATGTAGAAATTAAAAACAAAACTGAAGTTTTGCACTATTTGAACACGTTGCCTGCCTGCAGCACTAAAGGACTCCGCGAAATTCATCTGTCTCCCCTAGCAGCACCTGTCCCTCTCCTCCTCTTCAGTTCGCCTCAACATACGCTCGTCATATTCTGTGATATGATTTACTCTGAGGTGTTTGACAGGTTAGTGGTGTTGACACAGCACCTCACTGTCTTGCCACATGTATCGCAAACCACGTCTCGGCCGTTTGTGGAGGTAAAATACGTCCACACATGACTCCGTTCACGCTCAGCCATTGTTGTGAGTGCCCACGCCAGGGGCTGCCACACATTTATACATTTATATTTCGCATATGACTGTGAAAGGCGTAAGAGGAAGTAGTTCCTTCCAATTTAGACGATCAGAATGATATAGTTTCTTTCCACTGTGTTCCTGTTAATGAAAAACTACAAATTTACCCCAAAGTACTAAAATATCGATATTTTAATATGAGAATCGATTCTAGAATATAAATTACTGGTATCGGAAGAATCTGCACACCACTAAAAGGCAGTCATATCAGTATTTTAGAATGTTTCCATCCTGCTCGTCAGAAACTTCAGGTCATGAAATAAATGCACAGAACAAAGATTTTAAAATGAAAATATCCGCAGGTGAATTCATGCCTCAGATTAATACACTGTAACTGGTTAATGCAGGTAAATTGTTACGATATAAATATGCATATGAACTAAATGTGCAGAGGCTAAAGAAAGCCTGTTTCACTGTGATTGGTTTGTATCCAGAAACACAGACATATCATAAAAATGAGCAAAAATTAATGAAGACAAAATATTATAAATGGACTCAAACCTTCAAGACCTGCATATACTGAACGACAAAACGTTTTTTTTTAATTTTGTGAGATTTTTGGATCCAACAGAAAATTTACCAGGATATTGTTTGTTTTAAACGTTGTACTTTTTCATGTGTGTCTGTGTGAATTTGGATATTACAGGATGGCTGCTGTGTTGCCTGGGATTACTCCTTATCCCCTACCCATCCCTGTTGCTGGTCACGTGCTCTATAATGTTGTACTGTGGACATTTCTGTGCTTTCTGTGCAGAGGAGTTTTTTTGTTTCCTGTTCTCATGCTGTCCTCCTATAGGAGCCCAGCATGAGTAGAGGTCTCTTTTTTTCCTCTTGTACTTTCCCATTGTAGTGGACATTTCAGTGGTTTTTCTGTAATGCAACCGTTCTCTGACTTGTATCCCCATGTGATGTCTGTGTTGTGTGTGTAAGGTCGGGGGCGGGTTCATTCCACTGCAGGGCAACCTGCCACTGCATGTGGCGAATAAAATTTGAACTTGAACTTGAACTACACTGGTGCGCTTGCCTTATTGTTACCGATTTACTGTTAGAGTAAAAATAAATAAATATAGTGTTTTTAAAAAGTTTAGTACAGCTTTTGTCCATTAGAGGGCGGAAATAGGAACTCTATCTCTGCCGAACTGCTTTATATCATTGACTATTCACCAAACGGAGTACAGAGTTAGAAGTGTGAATAATGTCCCAATCCAGTAGGGGGCAGCAGATGTAGCAGCGCCATTACACAAGTGAGTGTTGCAGCATTCATTGGTGAAGGTGAAGTTGAGTCCCAGCGCGTATTTTTCACCCGTGATTCCGCACAGGGAGGGCAGGACGCAGCTCTTCTCGTACAAAACCACACGGAAGTCCCCTGAAAGAAAGAAGCAAATCACACTGACACACTCCTCCCCGAGCCGGGCGCTGACCTTTCTCGCTTCTTTTTCTCAGTTTTGATTCATTTAAATTTGACTTTCAGTGACTCGAGTTGAACTCACCTTTCTCACCCACGGCTCGGCTGGACAGACAGAGCTGCCCAGGTGGACACTTCAGGGGGAATCTGATGCAGTCCAGAGGGGAGATGGTGGGGAACACACAGGTGTAACAGAAGAGGGGAACTGAAGTACAGATGTGAGTTTTGCATGTGAGCCACAGTAAAAAAAGTCAACTGAATCATAATAATCACAAAATACAAGGATGGTAAAAACGGATGTCTTTTAAACTGCTTTTAAAAATGTACTTCAAAATGATTAATCACCGAGATTAATCAGTGGTTAGAATATTTATTTGTTGCAGCCCTAATATGATGAAACACACTGCTTTCTCTTTACCACTAACACGAATGTTAACCACTTCTTCTTTCAGCTGCTTCCTTTAGAGGTCACCATCTGCAGATCCTCCTCCACTACATCACGCATCTCCTGCCTGGTATTAAACATCCTTTCTAAAACATATCCACCATCCCTTCTCTGCGCATGTCCAAACAAACTCAGGCTCGCCTCTTCTGATATATTAGCTTCTAATCCTGTCCGGTCACTCTCAGTGAAATCCTGCCTCGTGTTGTTTTATCAGTGCCACAGTCTCCAAACCATACGTCACAGCAGGTCTCACTACCGTCTTATAAACCTTCCCTTTTACTTTCACATGTATCCTTCTGTCTCACCTCCACCCACTCCACCCTGCGTGCACTCTCTTGTGCACTGTCTGTTAGCCTCAGCTATTTAAACTCTTCTATGTTAACTACCTCTGATTGCTACTGCACTTGGATATTTCTTATGGAACGGCATCATGTGACACAAAGAGGTTTTTTATATGTACAAGTAATACAAAGATCAAACATATTCATTACTAAACAAAAATATTTCTGTATTTTAAAATAATTTTATTTAGGCAGTTTTATAAGGTGTAATGGTTCCAGTTTCCCAGTTACATCTTTCTTCATCTCACATTAAAGCTACTTAAATAGTTCTTTTCCAAAAATTTCATACATCAAACAATGAGGGGAAAATAATAGATCTTAATTATGCAAGAAAATAAGGTTTTTTATATTAATGTTAACCTTGGAGTTTTCTGTCCGCTATAGCTGCATGGATTGTGCCTTTAAACACACGAGCAGAAGCATGCACACACCGTCTTTGCTGACTTACCCACAGCTGGAAGTAAACACAGGAGAAGCAGAGAGCCAAGCAGCTTCGACATCACTGATGTTTCTGTCTCACCAGGAGAAAATCCTCCTGCCGGTCGACGCTTCAGCTTTTAAAGGCGTTTCTTTCAGAATATTTTCTAGAATGAATCCGCTGTTTTCATCTTGAATTCAAGAAATCAAGTTGTTTTTTGTTTGTTCTTTTAATTTAAAGCTAAAGTTTTACAAACTAGCTTCACGCAGACGGAGCAGCCACAGAGATCTGAAGGTAAATCTCTTACTGGTTTCTCTTAATATTCCCTTAATCAACTCTGGGAGAATCTCCCACCCCACTCCTTATGATTAAATTAGACTGTTAGACTTCTGTTCGAAGCCATGGCTGCTTAGAAAAGGTCCATTCAGACTTAAGATAATCAACGGGGCTTTATGAAGAAAATCCACATCTGTGTAGCTTAAAATGTGGAAAAAGTGGAAAGTATTAAGCTTTCTTGAGGTCTTCTTTTTTCTAAAGAATGATGTGACATGTGTCTGTACTGAGGTGAAGCAGGGCAGGTTTATTAAATCAAATCTCATCTCCTAATGAAAGACATTGAGTTTGGTGGGAGGGATGTCAAGTGACCTGCAGTCCCATGACGAGAAAAGTGATTAGAAGCAATGAACAGTCCCACAGTTTCAAACTGAACACAGGGTGAGTTCATGTTTTTTCACAGTAAGATTTGTTCATAGTGTTTGCATTGAGATAATCTGCAGTATATGATTATTGTGTGTTAGATAAGATAATCGAATTACTCCATCTCTGGATACTTTTTCCTATTTCTGTTTTTCAGGCATACAAAAAGTCATTCTTTCCATTGTTGTTATTATCGTTATTTCAATAACAGATAGCCTAATTAGATCAGAATGAAAGTGTGTGTGTGTCTGTGGAGTGATACGCTGTCTTGAGAGAAACCCACAGAATTATACTGGTTTCAAACCCAGAGCTGAATTCTGTGGAGCTGCTGAAGATTTCATCCTAACAGCACAGGCGTTAAACTCTCCAGTGAGAGAAGGCAGCTCAAACAAAGCTCTCTTTTTTATTTCATCTCTCCTACTGTACATCACAATTTCATTGCACATGTACAATGACAATAAAGGCTATTCTATTCTATCAGGCCAGACTGCAGAATAACAGCCTGCAGTATTTAGCATGCGATTCCTAAATGCTGCAGTTCTTTGAGTGTCCACTTGATGATAGCTCCAGATGCCTGTTGGTGCAAACAACAAACAGACATACCCCATGGTCTTTGATTTTGTATTTTAAGTGTCAAAGATGGTGTTTTGCTTCTCCCACCCCAACCAATCACAGCAGATGGCCCCGCCCCTCCCTGAGCATGGTTCTGCCAGAGGTTTCTTCCTGTTAAAAGGGAGTTTTTACTTCCCACTGTCACCAAAGTGCTTGCTCATAGGGGGTCATATGATTGTTGGGCTTTTCTCTGTATCTACTGTACAATATAAAGCACCTTGAGGCGACTTTTGTTGTGATTTGGCGCTATATAAATAAAATTGAATTGAATTGAATCGAACAGTGCTCATTTTTTTGGAGCCAGAAGTTGTCGTATTTAACAAGATGATGCAGTATGAGGCTATCAGCTCAGAGTTTGGTTAGAATATCCATCCACAGATCAGACGGCTCAGACACACTAGAATTTAAATCTGGAGAACAGGATTTTTGGATGGGCTGTACCAACAGAAGAGTCTGAGATTAACATGAAAAGTTATAATAATACTTCTTGGTGTAAAAAACTATCTCATCATCTGCATGATGGTGATATGCAAATGATGATCAAGTCAAAACTCTAAACTGTATGCCTGTGATCGTTGGACCCTCAGGCAGCCCTGCATTAAAAACCAACATGATTCAGTCATGGAAACAACTGCATGGACTCAGCAACATTTCCAGAAATCACAGTCTTTGAACACAGCTCTCTGCGCCATCCCCAAAAGCAGGGTAACGCACAACCATGCAAAGAACTTCTCTGGGGAAAAAGCTCGTTAAAAGGCAAAGTGGAAAATTGTTCTGTGGACAAACTGAAATCTGAAATTCTTACTGGAAAACATGGACACTGTGTCCTCCAGACTGAGGACGAGAGGGACAATCTGACTTATTATCAGAACTCAGTGCTGGAGAGGCCTGCTTGCATTCCAGACTTTTCATCAACATAAAACCTTTGAAGCATCATGAAACAAGAAATATAACTGGTCCAGCAGCTGCTCTCCCCAGACCCTGGACATTTAGGGACTGGATATAAAAGAAGAGGGGCCACAGGACACTGCCACACAATCTGTCCCAACTTTTTTGAGACGTGTTGCCACATCAAATTCAAAATGAGCTAATATTTCCAAAATTGTATATTTTCTAAGTTGAAACATGTAATGTTTTGGTTTGTGAATAAAATGTGTTTTTTCTGAAATTTGCAGATCACTTGTGTATTAAATATCTATGATTATGCAATACAGTTCAACTAAAACTAAACAGCTTAGGAAAAAACATAAATAAGCCAAAGAAACAAGACTGTGCATGAACATTTTACCTTAAAGTGCATTTTCAAGCTGTTCTAATGTTCTTTAACCTGTAAATAGTTCCCCTCATTAACTAAATTAGCATCACAGCGCCCCTTGCTGGAGGAAGGCGGGCATGGCTCGCTTGTCGACCTGCTGACGCCTCATGCGGACCACAGCTGCGTCCACCTGAGCTGCAGCTCTCTTGCCCTGCAGGTCATCCAGCAGCTGCAGACATGTGTGCTCCAGCTTCCCCAGCTCACCCTCAGAGGACTTAAGACATCGTCTGAGCGCTGCACCGCTCTGAGAGACACACAGGAAACACATTTCAAAATGATTTTGTTTGTCTGAGGAAAAATGAGAGGTTAGAGTGATAAACCACTTTGCTTTTTTAATACAAGTGAACACCAGCCACTGTACTCCATAATGATAATGATACGAATCCTGGTAAATGTTCAGTTTGTGTTCATTTTTAGTCGTATCTGACATGCAAAGCATTATTAAGCATCATTTTAAAGACTGAGCTGAAGAGTGAGACTGTGCTTCACGCCTATCGTTCTGCTTTGAGGTCACAATTTATTTTTGCAAACCATAAAATGCATGAGGCAGAATTTAGAAACAAGTCTCAGCTTCAGTTTCTGCAGACAAACTTCATGCAGATTAGTTTCTGCAGAGTTCAAGTGCAAACTAACATCACCCCAGAGCATTCTGCTCACCCTGTATTTGGATTTTTTTTTTCTTTGTACAAATGTGTATTAAATATTTATCCATCAGTAATCAGCAAAGTTATTAAATGTTACCAGAATATAAAAAAGAAAACATGATTGGAAATATTAAAGCTGCAGATTAATTATGTTCAATTTATCACTGGTTCAGTTTGCATGTGAAAGGCACCGTCCATGTTGACACACCTGCAGCAGAGTCTGTTAGCTTAGTCGTTTCAGCACAAAAGGTCCAGCTGGCTTAGAGTACACTCCCAGCTTAGCATCACAGTGCAAACACACACATGTAACCTCAGCAGTCAGAGACTCAGATACCTGACATCAGGACGAGGTAAAGGCCAAAACACACTTCAGGAAGTATGATAATGAATGTGGCAGCCGAATGTGTGTCGGACGCACCTGAATGAGCTGAGCAGCTTCAGGTAACTGTGTCCCCGGGTGTCTCTGATAAACCTTCACCAGAGGCCTGTTGAGCTTCTCTCTGGACAGAAGATCGCCGCTGTACTCTGGACCCTGTGAGCAGGACAGCGTGAGCCAAACGTTTTCATGAAATCTCAAATAAACACGCTCCACACGCTCTCTGACCTGTGCTCTGCCGTGGCTGTGACGAATGCAGTTGATCTCCCTCTGCTTACGAAACATGGCCTGCCGGGTGGCTGCAGACGTCAGCGCCAGATTTTGCTACAGAAGACAGAATGATGGTTAAGTATGTGTTATTACTTTAATACAAAAATGCACTTCTGCATTAATTCAGGATCTTTTTACCTGCAGAGTGACTGTCTCTGCAATTTTTTTCACCAGGCCGTCGTTGACAGCGCAATGAGCAGCTTTCTGCCTGCTGATGGCGCTGGTTAGCGTCCGTCTGATGGTTTCTCTCAGTAGCTGCGACTGGTTGACCCTCAGGGAGGACGACTCTAAAGCCTTTTTACACTCTGCAAGAGAAGCAGGAGATATCCTATCTGTCAATTTTAATCCTGAGGACACAGGAGATCTGTTTTAAGATGATCTGCTCTTTCTCTGAGTGTCAGCAGGGACACTGGCTGTGTAGATTAGTGACCACACGCAAAGCAACTAATTCGTTTAATTAAAGATCTGGAGTTTATACTTCTCTGTTTTTAGGATCTTGTTTTGAAAATATATAATTTATGTGTGGTGTAAGAACTGTGCTGTTGTTTTTCTCACTTGTTTCATTGATATTTGGGCAAAATTTGCTCTTATTTCTTATATAATTTCTTAACGAGAGCTTCTCCTTGTCCTGAGTGTACCTGGAGTAAAGGGGCTGATGGGGTCTGTTTTGATAAAGGTCTGAGGTGCAGAGTCATGTCCTCCAGCAGAGCCACTGAGAGGGAGCAGTTCCAGTACTCGAGCCCTCTCACTGGCACAGTCCAGCAGCTGTCTGCTGCTCTCACCCAGGGCCTTAAAGAAGAAGGCAGGAAATAATGCATTAGGACAGCAGCTGGCAGACAAATATATAGGTACGGGTTACTTTGCAGACAGAAAAATGTGGTAAAAAATAACAATAAAAAGTTTCATAACATAAAATATGTGAGATTTTCAAGTGGGGGTTTTTTTTCGACTGAAAATGCAAACCACAAACCAATCGGTTATTTCACAGTGGCTACATGTATCTTTCTGTCTATGTACATTATTCTTGACTCAGGCTAACAGCACCAGTTATACTCTCTGTTCAGTGCGCTTGCTTGACAACAAACAGCCCATCCAGTTCAGGGGCATTCGGGCCTTTAGCTTATCCCAGCATCCCAGCTCATAAGGCAAATGGTGGACTAGACCCTGAACATGTCCCCGTCTATCACAGGGCCAACACAGAAAGACCTTCATTCAAGCTCACATTCACACATACAGCCTATTCAGAGTCAACAAGCAGTTCTGCTGTGGGGAAAAGCTGCAGCAGCCTAAAGAAACCCATGCAGGCAATCTTTCAATTCTTCATTCAGCTGGTCGAGGCATCAACAGCCTGGATACGCAGCAGAGTTTCAGTAACCCAGTAAACATAAACATGTTAAGTTTAGCAACCTCAAAGATATATGCTACATGGCTGTTACTTCCTGTTACTCATCCCCTGAAATGCCTGAGCTTTAACTTAAAGGAACAGTTCACCTCAAAAGTGAATTTACATATGTTTCCTCTGGCCTGTAGTTCTAACCAACAAGATTGGACAACTGACTCTAAAACAGACACATCACCGTACCATCTTATCAGTGGGTCTATGCCTTTTCTTGAATATAATGCAACCTAATGGCACTCGCCTTTTGGTCTTCAAAGAACCAAAACAAAGGAACTACTTTTTTTCTACTATCTACATCCACCAAACTTCTAGTCACAAAACTGCTCACAAGTTTTTTGGATTTTTAAATGTGTTAAATTTAAGAGAATTCACTCGTCTCACATCGGAACAGTTTAGGTGGATAAACTGTCCCTATAAATCCAGCAACAACAAAATCTAAAGAAGAAGGGTGGAGGTTAGTGATACCTGAGCATTGTTGTTTTTCTAACCTCTCTCATGCCTGTGAGGGTAGAGTAGAGGGAAAACAAGTCAAGCGATGAAGACAGAGGACTGTAAATCACCTGAAGCTGGCTCAGTGTGGTTTTCAGTGTTCCCTCCAGATCCTGTTTCAGCTCAGCCAGCTCTCTCCTCTCCCACAGCAGCAAGTAATCAGCACCATCTCTCTCCTGCAAACGGGCAGACCTGTCAGGGCCTCAGTCTACAGCTCTGAACTTCATCAAATAATCCTTGGTGCTGGATTAACTCTCAGTGACACTGGAGGTAATAAAGATTTAATGCTGTATGTGTGTGAGGCAAGCAGGCAAGTTTTTGCACTTGAAATCCTGAAAATGATCCTGAGGTGCCGGGCAGAAAATACTTCACCACGGTTGAGCATCTTTAACACCAAAGTAGACAGAAGAATTTCAGCATTTTAAGTGTTGTGTAAGCTTGCCGTCTCAGTGGTGGATGGCCTCCTGGTTCTCCCCTCCGAGCTCTTCTGGTTGATGGTCAGATTGGTCCTAAGACTGCGCAGCATCCTCTCCAGATGTCCTCGCTCTCTCTCCAGCTTGACACCTTCCTCGGTCACTCTGCCAGCCTGCCTGCGCAGCTGGACCTCCACCTCCC